CAAGTGCTACTCGCTACTCAACTCGCGTTTGAATCATCAGTGGCAAATCTTTTAAATGAAAACGTACTTACGTGAGTCAGAACTGCCGGCATTTTAGTCTAACGTTACTCTCCCAGGATCAGTAAACAGTCCTCCATAACATGTGCTGCACACATCTGGATATTTGGGTTAAACTGTTCTGGAACAGTGTTGTAAATACAACTTAACCACTGATTTGTAGTCGTGTCCTCTTTTGGAAGACCAAACAAAGTAGTTTCGCTTTCACAACGAAAAACACAGCGGCCTAGCGTGAGGGGAAGCCCTGGCTTAGCGTGCGCTGAGGCCGGGATAGAGTGAGCTGAGGCCGGGCTAGCGTGAGTGGAAGCCCCGGCTTATCGTGAGCTGAGGCGGTGGGGTCGAGAACGGCGCGCCCGGTGGATCCAACGAATGAGCGGCAACCACATGTGACGGACAAAGCAAATGATTCCACTTCATCCACAGTGAAAGTTGATGTATTCCCTCAGCGACCAGCACAGAGCAGCTCTAGGCATGACGAAGCGGATATCGTCCTCTTTTGGAAGACCAAACAAAGTAGTTTCGCTTTCACAATGAAACACACAGCTCTTCACGACATGGCTGCAGCGTCAACAAAACTACAGTGAGACTAAAAGTTACGCCTTTTTTCTTTGCGTGAACATTTGGGCGGTGTTATGCAAATCTTCCCACATAGTGAGGTAGATATGTGGGGGCGTGTTAGAACGAGCCGTTTTAGGTAGGTGTGGCTGACTCTGAACTTTTATAAATAATATCTCTTTGGATTTGAGACTTTAGTCTTTGCAACTTTACAGATCTTCTTTATGCACCAAGAGCTTGTAACACTCCAAAGAGAAAAGGAAAAATTGAAATCGCATCATATGACCCCTTTAACACTATTGGTTACATTTAGGGTAAGTTTCAATGTAGGTGCTGTGTCATTTTTAAACGCGAAAGAGCATTAACCCGGCATTTTACTTTGAAAGTGTCGCGAAAATGCTCAAGCAGCAACATAATATCATTTTGTAGAAATGTTGCCACAAGAACATTTTTTTTTTTACAATGAGCTTGGGTTGGAACAGAAGTACATTGGCTCCTCAGTGAGAGACTGAGAGGGTCTATAAGGGACAGTCATGGTGTCCTCCAGCATCAGATCCTCAATCCACTCTAGCCTCCACAGCGATATCTCCATGACAACCGCAGAACAAGAGAATGCAAATGAGCCTAATACCAAGGTGTTCTGGGAGAATAGGTCACACGTACAACCACTTCCATTCTCTGATTTCCATTTCATTCAGCTGTTTAAACACAGAATAAAGGAACTCAAAGGATCACATACAATGAGAAACAGGTAAGTGTGAGTGTTGACAAAGATAAGAAATAGTCCTTTAATGGGAATATGGGATATACACGCAGTTCCTGCTGTTCCTGCAGCACAATGAATCGATCGTTAAAAGACAGCATCAGTTGAACTCCAGAGATTATTACAGCTACTTGTATTACTCCCATGACTGCAGCTCAACTTTAAATTATAGACTGAAAGTGAGCTTTGCAGCCAAAACAGGAAAAAAAAAACAGTCAGTTACCATCACGCAAAGTTGCTAATGTGACAAGCCATCAAAGGAAGCCATCAAAGGAAAAACTAAAAAACTCACTCTAGATTAGTTACAGTTACTGTAGCTTCCTACCACAACAGCACAATATCTGGGCCTATTTCTGAGTGTGCTTACAATCATTTACCATGGGAAATTTTTTTTTTTATTTGAATGACCATTGAGAAATATTCATGGTCAGTAAAGGTTCTCAATTTATCTATTATTGGCAGGTGTGGCATAAAAGTTGTGTGCCCTGCATTCAAAACACATGGCAGGGCAGTACCAATACACAATACAATACTCACATGACACTCTTTAACAATAAGAACACTCCCTTTTATGTACAAACAGCTAGAAAGCAAACAATCTTGCATGCTAGTGGAAACTGTGTAGCCTGTAAAGAGAGACACAGTATTATTACCACACCTAAACTCTTCAGCACAAGTTGCTAATTAGATCTTTGAACCACCTGCCCTATTCATATGTGTGAAGACATAGTATCACTAGAGCAAAGTGCTATATAGAGAAGCAGTAATGAGTTCAAAAAGCACAACATGTCAAAGCAAAATGCCAGTTAACCATTAAACAATTTCTGCCACAGTTTAAAGGGATAGTTCACCCAAAAATGAAAATTCTGTCATTAATTACTCATGTAGTACCTCATGTCGTTCTAAACCCGTTAAGACCTCCATTCATCTTCGGAACACAAATTAAGATATTTTTATGCATTCTGAGAGCTCTCTGACCCTCCCATAGACAGCAAGGGTCCTTATACGATCAAGGTCCAGAAACGTAGCAAGGACATCGGTAAAATAATCCATGTGACATCAGGGGTTCAACCATAATTTTACGAAGCAACAAGAATACTTTTTGTGTGCAAAAGAAAAAAAATAACGACTTTATTAAACAATTTGTCTCCTCCGTGTCACCCTGGTGCCATTTTGGAGAGTATCCACTGAACGCAAACAGCGCATGTTGTTCTGTGTCAGCCGCACCACACGGATACGTTGTTTTACATTCAAATCAAAGCACAAACAACGTAGAAAACATATCTGCGTGGCGCAGCTGACACAGAACAGCATACGCTGTTTACGTCCAGCGGATATTCTCCAAAATGGCACCAGGGTGACACGGAGGAGACACATTGTTGAATAAAGTCGTTATTTTTTTTCTTTTGCGCACAAAAAGTATTCTCGTAGCTTCATAAAATTACGGTTGAACCCCTGATGTCACACGGATTATTTTACCGATCTCCTTGCTACGTTTCTGGACGTTGATCGTGTAAGGACCCTTGCTGTCTATGGGAGGGTCAGAGAGCTGTCAGAATGCACCAAAAATATCTTAATTTGTGTTCCGAAGATGAACGGCGGTCTTACGAGTTTGGAATGACATGAGGGTGAGTAATTAATGACAGCATTTTCATTTTTGGGTGAACTATCCCTTTAAGCACACAATTCAGTTTGTTTTTTTCCATGTGAGCAAAGTCCACATTTGTACATGTAGCCTATGTGAAAAGACTCGTCACACCTGTTAGCCTTGCTTGACCACTGCAAGCTAAGGTTTACAATACTGGCTTAATTTTGACATGGCGTTATAACTGAATTTCACTGCTTGTAGGATTGTTTCCCTTTTTTCAAAGCGAGGAAATGGTGTGGCTATACTACACTTGCTTCTTCCCTCCCAGGGCAACAACATTTACACATACAGTGGGTACGGAAAGTATTCAGACCCCCTTAAATTTTTCACTCTTTGTTATATTGCAGCCATTTGCTAAAATCATTTAAGTTAATTTTTTCCCTCATTAATGTACACACAGCACCCCATATTGACAGAAAAACACAGAATTGTTGACATTTTTGCAGATTTATTAAACTTTAGAGTGTATGAAAAAGGGAACAAACATTTGTTACACAACCAAGTGACACATTCAAAAAGCAAGTCGTGGAGCATTCAAATAGGACAGAGAGTGCAACTGGAATAAGGTTGAGAGAGGACATGAGAAGTTTTGGGTGTCCTCAAGCTCAGTACAGGGCAGTACAAGACAGGGCGGGCTGGGAACAGATTACATCTGACCAATAGCAGCTGGTCTCTATCAGAAGGGCAGAACTGTGTCCCTTAAGGGCTGGAGGTCAAATAGGGAAGTCTGCCGACATAAAGTGTTTGACAAGCAGAATCACAGAAACAACATAGTTTGGCCAGCGCAACTGTGATTTGTGCAATATTGTGCAACACAAATTAATGTGAAATTTAACCACAACCGCAGTATCTTCAATGCAATCTCAAACTGAAAACAGAATGTTATTTGAACTCTTTATTCCACGGCCAAATCAATACAGTGGTTATTTAGAAAAAACAAACAAACAAATAAATACTGTCTATAAACATTAAGAACTGACAATACCAAAAATAATAATAATAAATAAAACATTTTTGCTGATGCAAGAATAGTTGCAAAAACGGCTGTACTGCATATGATAGATCTGCTTTGCTGTTTTTGTGCATGGGAAAAACAACAGGATGTTTTCTGTTGTCTCTAAGTATACATAGGGTTTAAATAAAGGATAATAACTATATTTTGTGTGTGAGTGCACAAATATTACATGTGTGCGCAGATAAATCACATCAGACAAATGGCGATTCATTAACGTGAATCGGTTCTTTCAAACAGTTATTTTCAAATAACTAGTATGAACACGATCCAGTAATTATTTTAATGTTTGGACTTGAGCATGTCATCCCTCATCACGTGGGCCTTATTATGCTATATAAACATATTAGGCCATAAAGACATCTTCCTGGTTATAATTTTTGATTAAGCTTTGTTAATAAGGGTGTTTATAGTCCCAATTCAGTGTGTAGCAGCCAGTCAGCTTATAAAAACAAAGTCATTAGAACTTAAATATAATTGGCATTTACGCTAGACAATATTAAATCTCTAGGGTGGCAAGAAAAGTTTTTACTCACGTTTACTGTAAATCTGTCACTCTCATTACGAGTTTGACATGAGACTATTCTTAGTCCAGTGAGTAGCCTACAGTGAGCGAGTTGCTTGGTCAAGAACCACTGGGACTGATTCACACCGATTCGTGAACCAACCATTCGAGGATGTTTCATAAAGCTTAAGCAGATCATAGAAAAACCACCGGCAGCAATTGTCCCTACAATATACTAGTTTACGATGCTTTTAGAAAACGCGCAACCCAGACCGGTTCAACTGATTCATCAAAAAAGATGTTCACGAATCGGACATCAACACAGCATCCAAACTGATGTAAAAAAACACAGGGCCTAATCCAAACCTCTCATACACAATGCTTAACTACATAAACTCAATTCCTAACAATGTCTTTTTTATTTGCTCAATGCAAAGATATTATGAAATATGAATCTTACCTTTGGCGTGACAATCAGCGCAAAACTTGTTTTCCTCTAACGCCAGAAGAGATGTGAGAACAGCCTGATAGCGGTCAATGTCTTTGACTGATTTACCCGACATCTTTAGAAATCAGTCTCTCGCTGATCTACCTGCTCCGTAAATAACTAGTCCAACGCCGCTGAGAAGATGTTCAGATGTTTTTGCGTTAGTGAAACACACCGGGAAGCGGATTGCTGATTGTCACAAACCCGACTGCCGCTGCAGATGAAGAGAAAAAACACTACTGTACTGCTGGCTTCCGCTAATCTTACCAGGAAGAGGAAAAAGCATTTAACCACGGCTCATATAAAAACAACACATATTCCTCGCTGTACATTCGCTGGTCATTGACACCGAACTTTCCACCCGCAGTATCAGAAACACATCAAGCACCTTCAAGCATTACACTTCAGTATTACTCTTCTCAGCTGCGCTTATAGTCCCCGCACTGCCTCTGTTGCGCCTGCTTCTGGACTTCAGACAGGTGCTGTTTAAAACATTCTGTGTCTAAAAGACCGCACAACTAATCCAGCATCAGATAGACAATTGCGGTCGTGATGTTCGCTGTTCAATCATGCGAATTACAACCCTTTTGTGTAATTTGATTTCTAGAATTTGGGAAATTGCGCCACCCTGCGGGGGAAAACGACACTGCGGGCATTCATGTTCGAGCTGTCACGCAGGAAAGACATTTTAACCCTTTAACTGTCACCTGTCCCCTCTGTGGGACGCCTAAGTTTACTTCACTATATTACAATTAAATCCTAATCTAATCATGACAAACTATATATCGTTGGAAAGGTCTAAGACTCCTAAATATTTTTTTACAAAAACATTGGTAAAATATATTTGTAGGAAAAGTAATAGATGACTTTATGACAAGAGTGCACCTCAAAAATCTACATCATAACAGGAGTTCTGACCTTCTTCGTTGCCTTTTTCTCTATCACACTTTAGAAATCATCAGAAATTATATATCAATTGAAAACTTTAAATCTCAAAATTCATCCTTTGAAACCCATTTAAAATCAAACATTGCATTACCATGAAAATGGTACATCAATATCATGTTACAAAATGTTTTTGTTCATGAATTATACAAATTTAAGTTTGGATCGTGCACTTTCACGTCTATGTTCAAAAATGTGAGTGACAGTTAAAGGGTTAATTAATGATCCTTTCTTAGTAGCTAAAGGTTTTGAGTCAAATGTGCAATTACACAAAGATATGTTTCCCTATTCAGTGGTTTTGTATCGTTTTCACACTTAGTGTTACACACTTAACACTTAGTTGGAAAAAAATATTGAATTTTGTGCTTCTTATATCAACAGTTTTGTTATAGGCCTAGCTGCCAGTGAGGCGAGATTGAACTATTGAATGAACATTTTAACTAAAAGGTTCGAAGCTTTTGTATTTAAAGTGCATTCATTACAATGATTGTGTACAATGATTTTTTTTTAGTGTTTACATTTGGTTTAAAAGCCCGAAATAATATATTATTCAGTGGCAGATCTCACTGACACAGCTCATTCCATATCAGTGTTGTTATCATTAACAAAAACTACAGCTAAACACTATTGAAACATTTGTGTTAATTGAAATAAAACTCAAATCAAATCAATAGAAATATAAGATTAAACAAAGCAAACTGAATGAAGATAGGAAATGCTCCTGTGGTGACTAAATTAAATAAGATGTTTAATTTGAAGTTACTGAAAAACTAAAACTGAAATAAAAATTCATGAAAACTAGAAATGTTTCAAACAAACCAAAACTAATAAAATGACCAAAACAAACAACACAATTACTACTATTTAAATTAACATTAAAACGAAAATTGAAAATATAAAAAAAATGTAATGTGTTTGACCTGTAATATAAACGTAGGCCTACAGTGTTTTATTTTATTTATTTATTTTTATATATCCGCCCTGAGAAATATTCACTATAATAAAAAAGTGTGACATCTTGCCTATAATGTTTACAATAAACAAAATTACGTTGATTGTAGACATTTGTCATTAGACTTTGTGGACCACTGCTAGTATGCCAGTGGGGAATTAACTTCACACATACATTAAAAATCACCTTGCGTTCAAATCACCTGCTAGTTAAATGTTGTAACAAAAATGCCTAAGATAAGTTTCTGGTGTTGTACTTTTTAGTACTACATGTCCAAACCTCCTAATATCTGAGTATCTGTTTATTTAGCCTCAAAAACAAACAATCCAGTGTCCAGAAGCTGCGTACATATTCAACAATCTATTGAGGTATTCAGAAAAGGGGGCGTGAGAAACATACAAATGCAGCTGTGTCCAGTTAGCTTTCTAGAGCTCTGCTGGATGCATGGACAATCAGCAGAAGTCTCCGCCTCCCACTCGTGTGATGGCTTCTCAGGTCTATCCGGTCCTCAGTGCGTTGGGCTCTCTGAGCTCCCTGAGTTCTCAGGGGCTGGCTGTAGGGCTGGGTTACACCTCTCTTATTCCTCTCCTCAGGTCCCTGCCACTGTGTTTTTCTTCCCTGTCCTGGGCAGCACACACACTCACATACACACACCTTTCTTTTCCCTGGATCCACCATCCTGGGCTGAGAAGCCAGGAGAGAGGGTGGCAAGATTTGGAGGAACCGCTGGGACGATTGGTTTTTGAATAGCGATTCTTCACCATGGCTAGATTCTTCATCATCTTCAGAAGCTTGGTCCTGTTGCAGGCACTCTGCTTGGCCTTATCGCAAGTGGTGAGTTTGGCTGCGGTTATCTACTTTTTCTTGGTGCTGGATGATCTTGAGGATGAGATCATGCATCTTGGAGAACATTTTATGGATTGCGATGTAATTCACTGTGGATTGGACTGGATTGTCAGTCAAAATGCCAATGGATAAAGTTAATTTAGATGAAATTCATGCAATTAGTTTACTAAGTTTGGTTAGATTACATGTATATTGGAGACTTTTGATACTCAAAGTTGCAAGACTTTTGAGTTTTTTGAACTTCTGAAAGTTTATCCAAGTGGATTATATTGCTTTCTACAGCTTGCAGATACAAGAGGCCTGGTATTTAACAATAGACTATTTTCAGTCAGTGTTATCTTTTGATTCTGAAAGCTTAAACTATTCAGTTCAGTAAATGAAATGAATAAATGGAAAGCTGCTGAATAAAATATGAAGCTGAAAGTGAGCATGAGACAAATGAACAGAGAGAAGAGAAGGTAGAACGGAGAGAGTACAAAGAGGCCATTGAAAATGCACTGCTGCCAGAAGCTGCTATTCAAACAGACAGAACCTGAAACTGCTCTCAGCAGAATAACACATACTTGTCACATTTAGAAGGACCACCTCAGTCCAATGCTTGCATGCAGCTCATATGCATAAAATGCAATGGATTAAATGAATGTGCATTCATTTTGAGTCAACCACCTTGACAAGTAATGCATTGAAAAATAGATGTATATTTGATGCTGGATGGGGGAGGGTCTGTTTAGCCCCCCCGGATACCCTGATTGCACAGCCTCTGCCTTTAATTTATTTTTCATCATAAACCTCGTTCTGTCTATCAAATTTAAATATGTAAACATGTCTGAGGCAGTGTTGTTATTGTTAACTAAAACTTTAGTACACGTCATTTTTTTAAGTAATTGAAATAAAGCTGAAATTAAATAAAACATTCACTTAAAAAAAACTTAAAGGAAAATAAGAAATGTGGCCTACAGGCAGTTGAAATAAGCTAAAGTATTAAAATGACTAAAACTGAAATAAAATAAAATTAAAGCTAAATATCACTTTTTTTTAAATCACATAAACAAAAGCATGTAAGAAAATTACTAAAACTTAAATTAAATATAATATAAAAATTAAAAAGCTCATTCAAAGTCTTAATAAATACTATAAAAATCTATAAATAATAGTAAAATAATACTGGTCTGAGGTCACAAGGAGCATTACCAAACAATATTTGTGCTTGTTTTTATTATCCAAAATTAGATTTGCATGCTAGAGTGATTCACCTAATTTTGTGAATTGCTAGCAATGCAGCTATTTGCCAGTGATTATTGTCAACAATATGAATATTAATTAATTCTGAATGAAAATATAACAGTTTATAATAAATTGCATACATTTGGCTGTTTTTATGTGTTTCATTTTAGACCGGTCCACCCGGACCGCAGGGCCCCCTTGGTCCCGCTGGTCCCGCTGGAACTCCCGGCGCTGACGGCATTGATGTGAGTATTGGAGCTGCCTGGCTGCACCACAGGTCGAGCTGGTACAAAGCCAGTCATTGTGAACCTTCATGAGCCCTGTATTCATCTTCACTACCAAAATCTTGCCAACAGAGGGCGTAAGAAATAAAAATCATCACACAAAAAGGTTCTGTTAGAGGTTGCCTCTTTCCCATGCTGAGAGAGAGCTACTAGATGTTGGTTATTTGATAGAGTTGTGGCCCAGGCTGGATTCAGTATAAAGACACTCAGCAGGATAAACAGGCCAGACTGATCCATTGCATAGCAAAAACAGAAACAGGATCCCCCATGTTCCTCCATAAGCTCTATTATTTCAGGATATTTAGATTTTATAGTCATAAATGGTGATAAATGCATACAGAAATATAGATATATTCATTAACATATTCTTATAGTAGTTATTGAATATAGAATTCTGACACCAAACGCAAAATACTGTAAATCCGACCTTATGAAGGGGTCAGGGTGGAGAAGAAGCTTGTTTGTTGGTGGAGTTATACATATCGTTTATTTTCATTTTATTTTTAGATATTTCTTTGACATTTTAATAGCATATTAAAAGCAACCATTTTTTTGTTGTGTGTGTGCGTGTGTGTGTGTGTGTGCGTGCGTGTGTGTGTGTGTGAGTGTGTGCATGTGAGTGTGTTGTTAGTGATTTGTCCCCATACACTTTATATTGGTTGTCTTTGCTCATGTTTTTTTCGTAATTTACAGGGAGAAAAGGGCCCTCCTGGACCACCTGGACCACCAGTAAGTAGTAACAGCAGTTGATATTGATATACTGTATTTACACTACCATTCAAAATGTTGTATCAAAATCATACTCAAATAACGGAGAGTGTTTGTCATGTGTCACCACTTTACAGGGTCAAAAGGGAGATCCAGGTGAGCCTGGTCCTGATGGATCTCCAGGGGAGGATGGTATTGATGTGAGTGACACCTACAATTAAGGAATTACAATTATGGACTTTCATGAGGTTATTGATCAGTCATAATTTAGTTGGGGGGGGGGGCCATTTGGAGATGAATAATAATGTATATTTCAGTATCCTGTCAAGTTCTCATTTAATAAAAAAAGCTAAATCTCATTTTCAGTCATTACATTTGTTTGTACAATGGCATTTTAAATCATGTTCTGGTGAAGGTTATTCACACCTCCACTCTGAAGTGTTGGCGTGAGACTGGGAAAGGAGATGTTAGTCCTAATTAGCAAGACTTTCTCAGTCACATGCTAGGAAGCAAACATTCCTAATTGGATTTTCTGCTTAATCTGTTCTAGAATGTCAAACCCTGTTTCTCTCTCTCTCTCTCTCTCTCTCTCTAGATTTGCATGCTAGAGTGATTCACCTAATTTTGTGAATTGCTAGCAATGCAGCTATTTGCCAGTGATTATTGTCAACAATATGAATATTAATTAATTCTGAATGAAAATATAACAGTTTATAATAAATTGCATACATTTGGCTGTTTTTATGTGTTTCATTTTAGACCGGTCCACCCGGACCGCAGGGCCCCCTTGGTCCCGCTGGTCCCGCTGGAACTCCCGGCGCTGACGGCATTGATGTGAGTATTGGAGCTGCCTGGCTGCACCACAGGTCGAGCTGGTACAAAGCCAGTCATTGTGAACCTTCATGAGCCCTGTATTCATCTTCACTACCAAAATCTTGCCAACAGAGGGCGTAAGAAATAAAAATCATCACACAAAAAGGTTCTGTTAGAGGTTGCCTCTTTCCCATGCTGAGAGAGAGCTACTAGATGTTGGTTATTTGATAGAGTTGTGGCCCAGGCTGGATTCAGTATAAAGACACTCAGCAGGATAAACAGGCCAGACTGATCCATTGCATAGCAAAAACAGAAACAGGATCCCCCATGTTCCTCCATAAGCTCTATTATTTCAGGATATTTAGATTTTATAGTCATAAATGGTGATAAATGCATACAGAAATATAGATATATTCATTAACATATTCTTATAGTAGTTATTGAATATAGAATTCTGACACCAAACGCAAAATACTGTAAATCCGACCTTATGAAGGGGTCAGGGTGGAGAAGAAGCTTGTTTGTTGGTGGAGTTATACATATCGTTTATTTTCATTTTATTTTTAGATATTTCTTTGACATTTTAATAGCATATTAAAAGCAACCATTTTTTGTTGTGTGTGTGCGTGTGTGTGTGTGTGTGTGCGCGCGTGTGTGTGTGTGTGAGTGTGTGCATGTGAGTGTGTTGTTAGTGATTTGTCCCCATACACTTTATATTGGTTGTCTTTGCTCATGTTTTTTTCGTAATTTACAGGGAGAAAAGGGCCCTCCTGGACCACCTGGACCACCAGTAAGTAGTAACAGCAGTTGATATTGATATACTGTATTTACACTACCATTCAAAATGTTGTATCAAAATCATACTCAAATAACGGAGAGTGTTTGTCATGTGTCACCACTTTACAGGGTCAAAAGGGAGATCCAGGTGAGCCTGGTCCTGATGGATCTCCAGGGGAGGATGGTATTGATGTGAGTGACACCTACAATTAAGGAATTACAATTATGGACTTTCATGAGGTTATTGATCAGTCATAATTTAGTTGGGGGGGGGGTCATTTGGAGATGAATAATAATGTATATTTCAGTATCCTGTCAAGTTCTCATTTAATAAAAAAAGCTAAATCTCATTTTCAGTCATTACATTTGTTTGTACAATGGCATTTTAAATCATGTTCTGGTGAAGGTTATTCACACCTCCACTCTGAAGTGTTGGCGTGAGACTGGGAAAGGAGATGTTAGTCCTAATTAGCAAGACTTTCTCAGTCACATGCTAGGAAGCAAACATTCCTAATTGGATTTTCTGCTTAATCTGTTCTAGAATGTCAAACCCTGTTTCTCTCTCTCTCTCTCTCTCTCTCTCCCACTAGATTGTTAATCTGAGGAACTATTTATGTATAAATGTATTTTTTTTTTAAGTTTGGGCAATGAATGAGAATATGAGCACATGGATCTTTACATATTTCTGTAAATGTTCTGCTTATAAATGACCTGCTTAAATCTTCACATCACTTTAGAGGTGTTAACATGACCCAGTGAATGATTCCATATAAATAATGACTGCCTGATTATTATTCAGGAGGCTTGTTTTTCTCTGCTATGTCTCCAGGGTTTGATTGGGGCTAAGGGTGAGAGGGGCCCTCGTGGTAATCCTGGACCAAAGGTCAGGAAATCATTTTTTATTTTTCTTTATGGATGCAGAGTACACACAATATATATTCATGCAGATAATAATTTGACCAACAAATGCACATAACATATCATTTAATGTTTAACAAGTGATAGTAGAGGACAACAGCTGAATATTATGAATAACATGATGTAGGCATATTGAGAATATTATAAATAACATATAATCTTTTCAGTCATTGTTATTCTAGAAGTGTATAAGAATGGAATGCATCTAATTTCACATGTTTTATTGATTTTCACAGGGTCAGCCAGGGCCTAGTGGACCACCAGGGCGAACTGTAAGTATAAAAAATATGTTATGAATTTGTTGAACAAAAATAATTATGTAAGACTACCACCTGCAGTTACCCCAGCTATTCAACAGGTGATCTTGTAGTACAAAAATAGTCAAATTCCTGATTTTTGGTGTTTGAGTATTTCTAAGGACGCAAGGCACTGTATTCCAGTATTAATGGACTACATTCATGATCTGTTGCTAATTTTTTCTTTTCTTTTTACCTTTAGGGACCTGGACTGCCTGGACTTCCTGTAAGTAACCCAGTTCATAATCTATTTGATTTCCTTAATTTGCTTAATTTACATTTCCTTCCCATTTTACTTCTTTTATTTAGGGCCTGAGCACTGATGGTGCAAGGACCCTCTTGGAATTGCTCTTTATTATATTACTGTCATTATATAAACCACATTATTTCATTATAATCATATATAACCAAATTGATTAGTTTTTCTCACATGCAGATTCAGTGAAAATGACTGGTGCACGTTAACTGTTTGTTTAAAAAACCATTTTGCATGTACAAAAGGCTGTTGCAGTGCAAACCGTACAAAACCTTCTGAATTCTTATGGGATCGTAGCCCACAGAGGTTTTGTCTGGTTTTAGATTTGACAGCACACTCGTACTAATGTATTAGATTAATAAACAAGTTTCACTGTTCATTATCTCATTACAGGGAGCAGCAGGCCCCATTGGGTTTCCTGGACAAATTGGGTCTACTGGGTCAAAGGTGGGTCTCACTCGAATACATCTTCATAACAACATGCCAGTATACAAATCTTTCATGGTTAAGAATGCTGGTCATACTCAACCTTTGATACTAGCTAAGACAACTGTTTTTGCTGTAGCTTGAATAGTAAAAAAAATCACAAAAGTTCACTCATTAAACCAATGTAATTGAATGGACCGCTGAACTGATGCCCACTTGAGCTCAAACTCTCATCCCACAGGGTGTCATGGGAAGTCCTGGACCTCCAGGAATACCCGGACCTCCAGGAAAGCCAGTAAGTGACAGAATGTTTCATTTACTGCACTTTGAAATGTAGTCTTCTCAAGTAAAACCACAAAATCCAATTCTATGTATAAAGCTGTAGGGCTGAAAATAAATCAGAACAGTTTAAATTGACATCTCATCTCATAACTACTGCAATTCCGAGCATACGTTTTATTTCATTTTCTGCTTTATTTCATTTCATTTGAAGGCATCCATTTGGGATCTGCTTTAGAACTGCATTACTTTATAAAAATAAACCAAAAATAGTTTTTTCTTTCCAGTCACCTGCATTTATATCCACTTTCTCAGTTTTCCTAATCTCATTGTGTCATTTTCAGGGTCCACCAGGAAAGTTTTTGGGTTTAGAGGAAGGCAGTGCTGACTTCCAGGTAAGGTGAATTCCAAAGTATATTTCCATTAAACAATAAACAAATAAATGATGATGATGATAATAATAATAATTAAACAGCTTCAAGCCTTAAACCAAATCAGCCAGCTTCAAAATTAATTATAACATTATAACATTTATTTCATGCAAAAAAAAGTATTTGGAGGTACAAGTTTATAAGGGAATAAATCATCTTCCATTTGCATGATCAAACAGCAACAGTGTACACATTTGCAGACTGTAGGCCTACTAAATAAAACTATTGACTACACTGCAAAAATAATTTATTAATGCATTTTAATTAGTCTTTTTGTCTTGTTTTTCCAGTAAATATATATTTTTAGAAAATCTTTTTACTTTTCCCAGTAAAAACATATAAAAATCCTTAAAATAAGATACAGTACATATGCTATATACATGATAAGATGATAATAAAAATCCTAGTAATATGATATATTTAATTCTAAATATGATAGGATGATAATATTTCTGTATTTTAATATTTCATATTTATAGTATAAAACAACATATAATACATTTGAACTAAGTTTGAAAATATTCATATAATAAAAACTTGTTGTTGAAAATGTGGTTGTAAAGTTGATTAATTTAATTTGTTGTCATTCACAATTATTTATTTAGGCAGGGTGCCCACAAACAATGTGGTCCAAAAAAGAAAAGAAAAAAGTCCTACACTGTTCGTTACTCATCTTCCAAACTGCTCATATTTATACCTTAAATATATCTTTCTTCTTGACTTTCTTCTTATATTTGTCCTCTCAGAATCAGCCCTTCTCTGTATTTGGTTTCTCTCAGAGTTTGCCCTGTTAGACCTTACACACCCCTTATTGATCTCAGTGTTCATAGATTTTCCTAATGAGCTTCATTAAATGGGTGCCATCAAAAGCTTCTGTCCATTAGCACCTCTCTGGATCAAGAAGCAGAGCGGGTCCCAGGGCTGTGATCTGCAGCCAGCCTGCCAGGAGTCTGGAGGGATCACGTGGCAGACTGGTTGACTGTTTCTCCTCCGGCCTAGCGTCCAGCTGGAGCCCTGTTCTGACTGGATCAATCCTTATCATCCATTTACTGTAATTAGAGGGCTGGTGGTCTGAGATCTAGTAAAAAAAAAATCCAAGGCCTTAACGCACTTTTTCACCCAGCTTTGATGGCTTGATTTAAACAAATCTGACAGTGATTGTTTAGCCTGTGTTATCTCGAATTTCACACTTTTTTAATCCGATGTTGCCGATGTGTGTTCTAGTGTCCAACCAACTGTCCACCTGGGCCAAAAGGTCCTCAGGGCTTACTGGGAGTGAAGGTCAGTAAGTTAACCTTTTATACTTTCTCAAATTTCTCCGTAGTGAATTCATATGACTCAAGCCTATTGTTAAAGGATATTTCAAAGGCCTGAAACCACTTTCCCCATGACTGCATTCACAAAATAGCACAGCCCCGAGTGCTTTATTGTTACATAGCACAATAAAAAAAATTATAAAAATGAGAATGTTACTTAATTATGTACTTAATTATGTTACTCCTTGCACAATGAGTGCACAAGTATTTTGCGTCATAGTTGTTACTATGCCTGTACGTGAAACGACCAATCAGCATTTCTAAAATATTTTACAAAGTAGTAGAATTTAATGACTGATCTTGAAATTATTTTCCTCGCAGGGACATAAAGGTCGCACTGGGGTACTAGGAGATCCAGGTAGCATTGGAAGAGTGGTATGTTTTTCTTTCTGATGATGTTTGTTATAATAATAATAATAATAAACACACGCACACACACGCAGGTTTGTTTTTATGGTTTATGGGGACTCTCCATAGGCGTAATGGTTTTTATACTGTACAAACCGTATTTTCTATTGCCCTACACCAACCCTACACCTAAACCTACCCCTCACAGGAAACTTTGTGCATTTTTAGATTTTCAAAAAAAAAACCTCATTCTGAATAATTTATAAGCCTTTTAAATTACAGGGACACTGAAAATGTCCTCATAAATCACCTTCTCATTGTAATACCTATGTCATACCCATGTTATTATACACATTTGTGTCCTCATAAACCACATAAACACGCACACACACACACACACACACACACGCTACTACTACTAATAATAACAATAACACTTACAATAATGTTCCATTTCGTAATATTGCTATCAATATTCTTCTAAAGCATTCATTTTATTTAATGTAATTTTAACATTAACATTATTAAAAACAAAAGTTGCATTGGTTAATATTATTTGATTAACCTGAGCTAACATGAACAAACAATGAAAAGTTATAATTTTATTAACTAACATTAACAAGTATTAATAAATACTGTAACAAATGTAATGCTCATTATTGGTTAATATTAGTCAGTACATTAACTAATGTGAACTAATGGAACCTTATAGTAGTGTATAAGTGTTACCACCACAACCACAACAACATTAATAATAATAATAACAATAACAATAATATGTAAATTAAAAATGTACATTTGTACATTAATTTGTTATTTTGTTAGTCTGCTAAAACATTACGATTGCTCTATTCAAGTTATGGTGTGTACACTTTGTAACCACAGAGGGGCGCATGTGAGCACTCTTCTGAATGATAAAATGACGCGAAAGACGTCCCCTTACAACTTTAAACTTCATAAATCTCTTATAATGTGCAAAATGCAGAGAACAACAAACATACTGATTGGTTGGTAAAGTTAAATAAAAAATGTTTATTACTAAGCATCCAGATCATGCTTTGAGGTGCCCCAATATCTCACCCAAAACACAACATCTATCAGCAGAGCAGGATTATGTGTTAATGAAGCCCCTCAAGGCATATAACTGCCTCTAATCTGAGTGTGAGTCACAGACTGAACACACTGACCCAGATGAAAGGAAAAAGGGGGCTGGCAGGTACTGAGAAGCTACTGCGCTGTGAATTAATCAGACTTAATGAACCCCACAAGGACATTAGAATGGACTACAGGGACAGAGAGGATTTACCCATAATGCAGAGCACGACTGTCCAAGCTCAAGTTGTAAGACTTTGGGTGTTGACTTTAAGATTGACTGCCAAATGCAGAATACACACATCTGAAGTGCATTACCAAAATTGTCAAATATATTAAAAATTATTTTAGCCACAATATCAAAGTGATAAACCACATAATATCCCAAAATAAAAGTAAGACTCAAGGCCGTTATTATTTGTTCTTCAGAACGTAAGTATCTTTTTCATCCTTGTATTCTCATCCTTAGGGTACAAAGGGTGGAGTCGGCATCTCCGGTGAACAAGGAATACCAGGCCCTCCAGTAATGTATTTATTTCTGTTCTGGTTTGGTTTTGGCTATTTTATCATTTAAGCCTCTGTTGCTGTTACATCATGACAAGTCATTTTTGTTTTCCTCATTTTTATGATTTGGCTTTCCAGGGTCGTGATGCTACAGATCAACACATCGTTGACGTAGTCCTGAAGATGCTGCAAGGTGAATAACAATAATTGTACTTTCTGTTAACGGCTGCGATCAGTGTATCAGGAAGAGGGCAGCTAAATCTATTGAGTTAAATCTACTCAGTAATTTTCATCCATTGAAATGTATTATCGTGCAACTCATCACTCCTCAGGGACATCTTTCCTGCCAAACACTGTGGACTGTGTAGTCTGCAGCTATTTATCTGTTATTCAAAATTGACTAGTACACAGTTCTGTTTTCTCTGGGATTGTCAGTCTGTGCTCTCTGACCGTCTATTTTGCAAGAGAGAGATGACCTGATCCGGCCCGTGATAACCTCCGCTGGCTCCCACCATTTCACAATGTAATCCCTCAGCCTTTCAGCCTGCGATTGCAAGCATACCTTTGCTTATACATACCCACACGCTCACCTGAAGCAAGGGGAAGGATGCTTCTCATTCCCCATTGGAAAATAGATTAGATGTGGAGATTTGGTCGCTGGGACACTTCGAGAACTGGTCAACAGATGAATGTCCACCTCTTGGTTGTTATCTTAATGATATTTGCAGGACCCCCAGTGAGATGTGACTGTGTGCTAAGCTAAGGTTCAACATTATTTGCAGGTATTTTTTTCAGGGTTGAGCACCACTTTTTATTCGACTGTGCTGCTCTTTCAGTGTTGGTCTATGTAAACAAGAGCTAGATGGATGTGTTTGACCTCTGCGATCACGTTTAGCATCTTTTGCAGTATTGCGTATAAGGGGCTGTTCAGACAGAACACGTTTTTCCCTTCCACTGTTCTACTTTCCCATTGTTTTTCTGAGTAAACAGGCTAGACGGACATGTTTGACTGTTGGGCTTGTGTCTTTTGCAGCATCTTCAACTTTTAGTTCAACTTTTAAAAAATGCCCTGCATTTTTAGCAGTCAGAAATGTCTTAATGCTCTCTGTCATTATGGCAGCACTGTCAGCTGATCGTCTGGGTAACTAATGCTGTATACGTATGACATTTTGTAGAATAAACAGTCTAAGTAGTGTTATAAAAAGATAAACTTCAAATACCTGAATAATTCAGTTATTATTTAACTGATAAACCAAAGTGTGGAATGGAAGGGTCTATCACACTCCAATGCTGGATGACAAAATAACCTTATCAAATAACTACACTAGACCAAGGTTTTTCAATCTTTTAGATGCCACGGACCCCCAAATAATATCATCCTCATGCAAGGACCCCATCCTGAAATTTAAAAGCTATGTATTTATATGTATAAAGTATATTACTTGGAATATATATATATATATATATATACACACACACATTTGTTTTAAAATTACATTTCATTATTTAGTGTCTATGCAGTGTAGTACTATACATTTATTTATTTTGTTTATTTGAAATCTATTTTTCGTACCACTTTAGGGACCAATTCTCAGTATTATTATTAGCATATTGGCTGTTTATTAGTACTTATAAAGCACATATTAATGACTTATTCTGCATGACCATATTTCTGATCCCTTAATCCTACCCCATACCTAAACTTAACTAACTTACTAACTATTAATAAGCAGCAAATTAGGAGTTTACTGAGGCAAATCTTTTTTTGTTAATAGTTAATAGTGAAAATTGGTCCCCAAACTAAAGTGTGACCATTTATTTTTTTTTATTTTTAAGCATTTTTAAATTTTAATCAAATGTATTTATTTAGTTTTAGTTTAAGTTCGTTTAAGTTAATTTAGATTCAGTTTTAACACTGTTTTTTTT